CAGATGAATTTTTGAAGAGTTCATTGTAGGTCTGTGAAATATGCCATTGGTATTTTAATGGGAAATGCATTGAATCTATAGATTGCTTTGAGTAATATGGACATTTTGATTATGTTGATTCTACCAATCCATGAACACAGTATGTTCTTCTGTCTGTTTATGTCTTCCTTTATCTCTTTTTTCAGTGTCCTGTAATTTTCCACATATAGGACTTCTACCTCTTAGTTGTTTATTCCTAGGTGTCTTAATTTTTTTGGTGCGATGGCAAATGGAATTGCTTTTTTAGTCTCTGTTTCTGTAAGTTCACTATTGGTGTATAGAAATGCCATAGATTCTTAGCATTAAATTTATATCCTGCTACATTACCAAATTCATTTATTAAGTCTAATAATGGTTTGATGTAGTCTTTAGGGTTTTCTATGTACAATATCATGTCATCTGCAAATAAGGACAGTTTCACTTCTTCTTTTCCAATTTGGATGCCTTTTATTTCTTCTTCTTGTGTGACTGCAATGGCTAGTAACTTCAATACTATGTCAAACAGGAGTGGTGAGAGTGGGCATCCCTGTCTTCTTCCTGTTCTTAGGAAAAATGGTTTGTATTTTCCAATGAGTGTGATGTTGGCTGTGGGTTTGTCATATATGGTTTTTATTATGTTGAGGTATGATCCTTCTATTCCCACCTTGCTGAGAATTTTTATCAAGAAAGGGTGTTAGATTTTGTCAAATGCTTTTTCTGCATCAATTGATATGACTGTGATTTTTATCCCTCAGTATATTTATGTGTTTTATCATGTTTATTGATTTGCAGATATTATACCATCCTTGCATCCCTGGGATAAATTCTGCATGGTCATGGTGTATGATCTTTCTGATGTACTGTTGGATTCTATTTGCTAGAATTTTGTTGAGAATTTTGGCATCTATCATACCTGGAAATAGTAATCACACATTATCTCTGTCTCCAAAAGGTGTAAACTAAAGAGACAGAAAGATACTAAATGATGTACTGCTTTGATAAAAATATGCACAGGGCACTATGGTATAACCCAAAAACAATGACCTTACCAAGCCCAGTTGCAAGGATTGGGAGAGAGGTGAAGAAAAAAGAAAGGATTGGAAAGATTATTAAGAAAGTCTTGCCAACTGGCTTGTGTGACTCAGTGGTTGAGTACTGACCTATGAACCAGGAGGTCATGGTTTGATTTCTGGTCAGGGCATACACCTATGTTTCGGGCTAGATCCTCAGAGTGGGGCGTGCAGGAGGCACCTGATCAATGAATCTCTCTCATCACTGATGTTTCTAACTCTCTCTCCTTCTTCCTTCCTCTCTGAAATCAATAAAAATATATTTAAAAAAGAAAGAAAAAGTCTTGCTCAGTGGTAAGAACATCAACCTCTGGCCCAAAGGGTCACATGTTCAATTCTTGGTCAAGGGCACGCACTATGGTTGCAGATTCAGTGTATCTATCTCTCTCTCTCTCTCTCTCTCTCTCTCTCTCTCTCTTTCTCTCTCTCTCTCTCTCCTCCCCCCCTTTATTTCTTCCCCTCTCCCTCTCTCCTTCCCTCTCTCTTTCCCTCTCCCTCTCTTTCTCCCTACTCCCTCCCTTCCATTCACTCTAGAAGTCAATGGAAAAAACATCGTTGGGTGGATATTTTAAAAAAAGAAAGAAGAGGCTAGGCTAGGCCTGCAGGTCTGTGGCAAGCCTTGGCTGTGGGTCTCCCTTCCACAGGATAGGGTTTATGAAAGTTGTCAAAAGACCTACTTCAAGTGATAGCAAGTGGAATTCAGAAGACTATAAGAGGGTTAAACTGATTACTATGCCCAGAAATGCTTGGTAATCCAGGATAAAAATAAATACCACATGCCTACCTAAATTCCAGATGACAGTTCATGTAACCAACAGAAATATCATTTGTCAGATTGCTTATGCCCGTATAGGAAATATGATAATTTGTGCAGCTTATGCTCATGAACTCCCAAAGTATGATGTGAGGTTTGGCCTGACAAATTACACTGCAGCATACTGTACTGGCCTGCTGCTGATCCGCAGGCTTCTCAGTAGGTTTGGCATGGACAAGATCTATGAAGGTCAGGTGGAGGTGAATGGAGATGAATACAACATGGAAAGTATCAATGGTCAACGTGGTGCCTTCAACTGCTATTTGGATGTAGGGCTTGCAGAACTACTACTGGAAATGAAGTTTTTGGGGACCTAAAGGGAACTGTGGATGGAGACTTACCTATCCCTCACAGTACCAAACGATTCCCTGGTTATGATTCAGAAAGCAAGGAATTCAATGCAGAAGTACACTGGAAGCACATCATGGGTCAGAACGTTGCAAATTATATGTGTTATCTAATGGAAGAAGATGAAGATGCTTACAAGAAACAGTTATCTCAATACATAAAGAACAATGTAACTCCAGACATGATGGAGGAGATGTATAAGAGAACTCATGCTGTTATATGAGAGAATCCAATCTATGAGAAGAAGCTTAAGAAATAAGTTAAAAAGAAGAGGTGGAACCGTCCCAAAATGTCTCTTACCCAGAAGAGAGATCAGGAGCTCAGAAGAAAGAAAGCTTCCTAAGAGCTCAGGAACGAACTGCTGAGAGCTAATAAACCAAATCACAATTTTCTATGAAGATTTTTCAGAGACAATAAATTTATTAGACAAATAGCTTTAAAAAAAAAAGTCCTCACTGAGGAGGAACCCATTTATTAATATACAATCAGAGCAAGATTGGCTTCAAGAGTAGCCTGTTGAAGCAGCTCCATAATACAACTGTTTCTAAAGATTATTGGCTGGCACTGTACAGACAAGAGTCAACAAAGTTATCAGAAAGGTAAGGCATAGTCTGAATGAAAATAGGGGGAAATATAGACTGCCCATAAAATAGGAATAAACCTCAAAAATACCATCATGTAGAATACTATTCATCAATAGAAAGAAGTAGTGAGCCGAAACCGGTTTGGCTCAGTGGATAGAGCGTCGGTCTGCAGACTGAAGGGTCCCAGGTTCAATTCCAGTCAAGGGCATGTACATTGGTTGTGGGCACATCCCCGGCGGGGGGTGTGCAGGAGGCAGCTGGTTGATGTTTCTCACTCATCGACGTTTCTAGCTCTCTATCCCTCTTCCTTCCTCTCTGTGGAAAATCAATAAAATATATTAAAAAAAAAAAAAAAAAAAAAAGGAAAGAAAGGTAGTAGTGATATATGTTTCAACATGGATGAACCTTGAGAACATGCTAAGTAAAAAAATTCAGACACAAAAGACTGCATATCATATGACTCCATTTATATGAAGTGTCCAGAAGATGCAAATATATACACAGAAAATAGACTGGCAATTGCCTATGGCTGAGAGAGCTGGAGATAATTAGGGAGTAACTGCTTAAGGGTATGAAGTTTCTTTTTGGGTGATAAAAATGTTCTAAAATTGATTGTGGTGATGGTTTCACAACTCTGAAGATATACTAAAAAACACTGAAATGTATACTTTAAATGAATGAATATTTGATATGTGAATTATATAGCTCAATAAGGCTGTTACAAACATACCAATGTATCTACCTAATAAAAGAGCAATATGCTCATTGACTGTACCTTCATGATGCCCATCAGCCAATCAGGAGTGGGTATGCAAATTAACCCAACAAAGATGGAAGGTTAATTTGCATACACAGGTGGCGAGCAGCTAGGGGCAGGACAAGATGCTTGTGTCATCGCCATGGTGATGATACAGGTGTTCTGCACCACCACCAGCTGCTCCGGGCCTCTGTGCAGTGTGGGAAGGTGGAAAGGCGGCTCCAGAAAAGTGACTCCAGCCAGAGTAAATGCAATGCTGGCAGCCAGGGAAAGGAAGGCCCATTCTGGAATGAATCTTTGTGCATCAGGCGTCTAGTATTCTCATAAAAACTCAAACATAAACATTGCAGATGGTTTATTGGCCTTAAGCCATTTGAAAACTAAATCAACAGAGTAAGTGTATGTGTGTGGAGCTGTGTGGAACAAGATTCAAGCCACAGCTGCACCACTTACCAGATGTGCATACTTGAGCGAGCTACCAACTTAACCTGTCAGCCTCAGTGCACTCAGTGGAAGAATGAGGACAATATCAACCTCCCAGGGTACGAAATTACATACATCATCTGCATAAGTGCTCCACATTGCTACCATTTTCTAAATACTGTTATATGAGAAATAAATGTCATCCTGAAAAGTTTACATAAATACCTCTTCTTATATACAATACAGAGGACTAAACAGAACAATCTAATTCAATCTTTTAAGTCTGCATGTCAAGATCTACTAGTATAACTCATTCATATTTGTACACCATCTTACCCTAAGATGGTAAGTGTCTAAAATGCTACTCTAGATTACCAGGGATGCTAAACAATTTCTGAGTGCCCAGTATGTTTTAAGCACTCTGTTTCATATTTGATATAAGGTAAATTTGAATTTGAAACTTGGTCAGTAGAATGAAATGCTTTGTCCCCCAATACACAAGAATCTACAATATATGGGTGCTATGACATGTTAATTACTTATAAGAAGGTCTATTATTTTCAACATGCAGAACATATACTAAGATTTCTTGGTTCTCTTATAAGTAAAATTTTTAAAAATTACACATATGGTATTCAGTCTGGTCTATTTTATTTAGCAACTATATATTTCTGAAAAGCAGATATGTCTTTAGCTTTTTTTTTCTTACCTCTTTTTGAAGTACTATTATAGAAGTGATTTAAATGATTTAAGGTTGACTAACAGCTCAAAAAACTTGTTTAATTACAAATTAACATATCAACTAGTCCCTTTTACTATTTAAAAGCAACAATTTAATACATTTTACCCGTTCTGTCTCTTATTTAGCACCATAACAAAGTACATTTCCAAAACATGCAGTTTTTAGCAATGTCAAAGGTGTTAGCACAGCATGCTATCGACATCACAGTTAGTTAAAATTCACAAGGAAACGTTAAGAACCTTACCATGTCATCTGTCAATGTCCTAATATTTAAATGCTGCAAATGAAAGAAACCAATCGTTTCAGTAATTTGTAACAGCTTTTTAAATTTTAGCTAATAGAGTACATTTAAAATTCTACAATGCTAAGTTGAATGTAATTAAATTCCTGATAGTCTAATAAAAATGCATTATATATTGTTTTAATCACTTTCTTGAGAACATGGGCAAAAGTTGCCCTGAATGTGGTAGTACCAAACGTTTCCTAAAATTTACTGTATTTGTACACCAAACTAGAAATCTAACTGTGGTACAATTAATATATTCTCCCAATTAACAATATTAATTACCATTAAGTATATGAACTTAGAACACAATAAAGATTTAAATATAATTTCCAGAAATTCGTTCACATTATAAAACAGTGAAACTTTAAATCTACCATTAACATGCAACACAGTAGTTAATGAAGTACTTTGCTGGCTTAATTAACTTAAACAATTCTAGAAACAAAGAAGAGAATACTAGAACAAGTATTTGCATCTTTAACATCAGTTTGATTTATCACTAGTGGTGACAGTAAGCACTTCCAATTTCATTGCTAGCTTCTTTGAGAACCCTTTTGATGATTTCCTTGCTAGACAAACATAAGGCCACTTTAGGAAAGGAATAAATTAGTTTCCTGCAAAGTGGAATTCACAAGTGGGGGAGTAGGGAAGCGGCAGATACAAATCTAAGTTTTATAAATTCCTGAGTCGGGAAAGATTTTGTCTCTTAGTAGCTATAATCAATTTCCAATTTTCCTTCCACTTACTCATTATGGCATTAGATCATTAACGGGGCAGAAAATGGATCAAGTACATTTTCCAAGTAGGAAATCAGATGTACTATTTTGTAAGAATCTACCTCAATGATGACCCAGGTTAAAAACTGTTACAGTATGAATCACTATCCTAGATTCTCTTCTGTCTTTCACCAAGATGGTCCTTCGTCTGGTACAGAGGAAACAGCTTGAGGGACCCAGAATGAGCTTTGTATACACCAAAGAGAATGCAGCTAAATAAATGATGACACCATTCAACATTAGCCACACCACTGGGTTCCAGACTGAATGGTCTGTTAAATTAGGAAAAAAGTAGTAATAACACTGGAGTTAGTATTTAATTCTGTCAAATTAATAAGCGTGCACAAAAGTCCTTAAGAGTGAGGGTAATCCAGGACAGGACTAAAATTTCTGAGGCACTTAGGGATCCAGTCTCACCCTAGAAACCATTATTAGAATTAAACCCAATTCTAACCCAAGTCCACAGAAAAAGGAACATGGCAAGACTGTGTGGGGGCCCCTTCCTCTAACTGTCTGCTGTCTGTGTGGTTCTTGCCAAGAAAGATTTCCAGCCCATTGTACTTGGTGAACCATTATTTTATTCTCCATCCAGAAGTAACACCCAATCATGACTCTCATCACACCAGAAAAGGGTCATTTCAAGGTTCTCTGACAAAATGAACAAAGCCGACTTCTGATAATAGCACTCTGGGTAGCCAATTGGTTAAAACACAAGGCCAAATAAAAAGTGTAAAGCTGAAATCCTATATAGAATAGTATGCCACAACAAAAACATCTACTTACACAAATGAAATATTCCCAAATCCCAAATTGAGTTGCCCAAGAAACACTAAATACTTAATTAAAGATATAAAGGTTATACTAAATGGTACCCTTTGTGGGATGTCTGAATGTTAATATTAACTCATTCAAGTTTATTATCAAATTACATTCAAGGTTCAACTTGTTTAAATCATAGACTTCTAGACAGTGGAGGAAGTGGATGATTGACATAGAATCCTCAGATAATTCTGTGGGGCTTTGGCTTTGTGTAACCACAAAACTACAGGGGTGAAATCCTTAATTAAAAAAAAAAAAGAAAGAAAGAAAAAAGAAAGAAAAGCCCAGCAGGTAGCTCAGGGGTTGAGCACTGACCCAGTAACCAATAGGTCACCTTAGATTCCTGTCAGGGCATATGCCCTGTGGGAATGCAGGAGGCAGCAGATCAATGACATTTCTCTATCATTTATGTTTCTCCCTCTCTCTATCCCTCTCACTTCCTCTCTCTCTAAAAAATCAATTAAAAAATGTTTTTCAAGAAGGTTTCACTAAAACATAGAAGAAAACACTTAATTATAAAAAGTTATTTCCTTCATACTGGTACTTGAGGTACTGTTTAGATATCGGGCTAACCAAGGTCCTTAGAAAATGAAGTGTTTGTTTTACAGCTACCAGTCATGCTCTTTACTTCTGGTTGGGAAAATAGCAACTGCATGCATCAATCCAGTTCAGAAGTAGCATTTGCTGATAGCCACTGCAAGGAGAAAATTGAAACACAAAATTGACTATTAAGTGAAAACAAATAGAAACACTTTTTTAAAATAGTAACAATTTGATAGCAACTTTTTAGGGTGATTATTTGCCCAAAACAAGTTAAAAGCATATAGTTTTAGACATTAAACAGTCACACAAAGTGACTTTGTGACCTTTATTACATTACCTAGTGTTGCTTTATCGGATATAAAATGGGGATATCAAAATGTAATCAGTTCTGAACACGGGACCACTGGTAATTGCTCTGTGTGTGGTATGAAAGCACATTAGGGCTCTTGCCCTAGCCCTAACATTTTAGAGCCAAAAACTCACCCTTCTGTTTCCATTGTGTTTCTCGACTTGAAAATTCTATTTTCTCCCTAAAAAGTTAAGGAGTACCACATAAAGATATGTTTTCTACTAATGATGGTTCCTAAGAGGAATGGTCCAGAGGAGCACTCTGGAACTGAAAAAGAGAGAGAGTCTGTATAGATTTTTTTCTTCTTCTAAAGAACATAGGATCTGAAAAAAGAGGCAAAAACACAGAACACGGATCTCTATATTGCATCAAAACCTTTATTGAAGATAGTACATGCTGTCAAAAATAGATCTAGAGCTTTCAGAGCACTGTGCTAAATGCTGTAAATATGAAAGGGTGTGAAGAAACAGTCCCACTTCCACCTACTAGTTTACAAGTAAAAGTTTACAAGTACGTAACAAAGACCAAATAAATTAACACAAAGCATTACCCTGGGATAACCAGGCAAAGAAAAAGGATCCAAACTGTAGCCAAGATTTTTAGCAAGTTTTACATTGTCTTTCGTTGGTTAGCACATTTGAACTAGGAAACAAAGGATCTGTCCAATGTATTATCAAGTACATAACAGCCACAACTACAGGCTTGGGTAACTATCATCAGAGCCAAATACATGGTAATATTTAAAAAATAGTTTTTGGCTGCTGCAATTCCATTGAATTTACTGTGACATTGTAAGAAATTACCAACAAGAGGAAACCCAACAAGATTAAAGCTTCTGAACTCACCTGACTCAGAACCAATTTTCATAAACTGGACCCTCTAGATCAGCTGGGTAATGGTCACACAAAAACACACCAAGATTATCTTTGTAACAGTAGACTATAGGGCCTCAGTTTCCCAAGACTCTGATTTAGTAAGCCGAAAGTGAGGCTTAAGAACCTGCATGTTTAAGGGACCCCTCAGTGTAAGTCCAGGACCAAGAGAAACCAGCTCCACATATCTCCCTCACACTGAATAGTCCTTCGAGAGGGCGCACACACACACACACACACACACACACACACACACACACACACAAACTTACTTCTCATCATGTGACTCACTTTAAAACCAGTGTCCCTGAAACAAGCTATATGAAGGCTACAGAGAAAAATACAAGAGGATTTCAAAGAAGCAAGAAACAGGAGCTGGTACACTTGGAACAGGTTTACTGGCATGAAGTGACAGGCACCAATTAGTACTGTTGAATTCTCTTAAAACAATCTCTGGTGTCTAGAATGAATTAAAAATTGCTTAGTCTGTATCTAAGATACAATATCAAGACCTCCTTTCTCCATAGATTCTTCTCATAAGCATATGCTTAGACCCTAAGTACTGAAGATTATTCTTTATATCCAACCATGACATGACACTATTTGTTTATCAAAATGAGTCAGTGACAGGCTAATTACTGACACAACAAAGTTATACCTTAATGGGAGAGAAAAGCAAGAATCAGTTTTCTCCTAGTCTATAATCTGTGGGTAATGATAATACGTTAAAGTGTTACTCACACTTGTGTTAAAGTCCAGACTATTCCTTCCCACCAATACACTTATGAATATGTATTTTGACTTAAGAACACTTCTAGTTCACACAACTGTGTTTATTTTCATGTGAACACCAATTATAAAGGTGGCAAAAATGTAAAGTGATATTACCAATAACCATGAGAATAAACACACCTATAGTGTATATCTAAGTGTCATCTCCCGGGCAACTACACAAAACACATAGATGTGAAAATATTCTTCAAGGGCTCCAGTTTAACAACTCAGAAGGTTCCAAAAATAATACTGAAGTTTTCCTAGTATTGAAGATAAGAGTAGACATGGCTCTTTGATACCATAAAGCAAAGCTTTTAGGCTTACTGGCTCTTTGTCATTTTTTTTAATATTAGGTAGAGAAAGGTGGGAAAGAAGATAGATGTTAGGTACAGTTGAGAATTAGAAAAACTCACTTGTTCCTCACAGCTTCTTTTAATCTGTCCATTTATTCAAAGCCATAATCCTGCCTACATCAGAAAAATAAACACCTGTCTTTTATCCAGTATCCAAGGCTTCTCTGCTCTCAAGAATCAAGACCTCCTTTCCCATAGGTCCTTCTTTAGGCAAGGAAAGTCATCAAGAAAGATCAACTTTCTGGAGAGGCATTGTTCAAGCATCAACAGAATTGAAAAGAAAATATTCATTTCTAAGAGAACATAAGGTTTTTAAAAGGTTGCAGCAAAACTGCTAGGAGACAACAACATTTTTAAAAAAACCAATTATCAAGTTATTATTTGGAACACTCACCTAGATTACACATCACAGGCACTAGACATCTACAAGACATTTTTTATTCTAAAAAGAACCATAGTGTTCTTTTACTGTCAATAAATTCATTTAATGTTGAGGTAAAATTAA